GTGGAATCCCAACACCTCTGTAATTATCTTTACAACTTCCGTCCAGAAGGGTCGTATGAGTGGGCAGGACCAGTAATCAGCCATGTCTTCCCCACAATTCCTCCAGCAAAACGCAGGCGTGGCACTGAATTTAGACTTCTGTTTAGGCGTTATGAGATAGCGTATAATGTTCTTCCAGCAGAAGTCCCGCCACATGTTGGAGTTAGTTGTGGTAAACTGTGTCTCCCAGATCCGTGCCCACCCATCTTCTGTAATCACAATGTCCATTTCTTTTTCCCATTTCTGCTTTATGTAAATCGTTGAGTTCCCTTTGAGCTTAGTCATACATTTGTACTGTTTATCAAGGCTCTGGTCCCTGATTGTTTCTGATTCCTCCGTCTGCTTTGTTTTGATCTTGTTCTGTGTAACATTTAAAGCTACAGGATCATTTCAAGTGTCCACGTGTGAAATAAAAGATCTTTGATTGTGTTTTTTTGTCCTGTTTGTGCTGCAGTCAGAACACTGCGTACAGGTTAGGGTTAGAGCTGTCGCTCAAAGAGGCCACGCCCCTATTCATGTAAACTTTAAGCCTTAATACAATTTAAACAGCTGAGTTATAGAAACATCCTCCTGCTCTGCAGTTGTTAGGAAGGAGGAAATGATCTCTGCAGACTGAACCAGCCTGGGTTTCGCAGTCGTCGTGCCAGCAGGTTGCTGAAAAAGCGCACAAACCACGGCGAGCTTCTCGTCTCAGCCTGGAGGCGTTCTTCAGCATCGCTTTGTTCATATCTGTGGCGTGGATCAGATACAGGTGGTTGTGGGACATCAGAGTAATCTGTCGTGGTTTATTTTGGTATTTAAAGCTACACAATATTAGTTATTTCAAAATTACAGACACTAAAAAACTGAAAGTTGTTCCTTTAACTGGAATCAGTCTTTCACCGTTTAAGTCACGTGACAATAAGGTTAAAGTGTTTATGAAGAGGTCAGGTGGGGACGGTCCCGTGTTAATCCTCACGTGTGTGAGAAATATCTGGCTGCCATGTTTGTTTTGTCTAAAGTGAGCGTAGCCATGGCGATCCAGGGTTTACGTCGGGGCGTTCAACACCACCAACAGTAAGGTGGAGATCCCAGGAACTCTCTGGGTGATCGAGCGTGCGTGAAGGCTTCACGTGGAGAGCAGCTCAGACTCGCTTCCTTTTGCTCTCACAGGTTTGTCTGCATGCAGAGAGCTTCTTTACTGACATGAATGTTTCACAGCCGTTAACATGGTTTTAACGAAGGCGGCATCATCAGCACTGCAGGTTCCTCGTTTCACCCTGATGGAGTAAATCCCAATAACTGCTTCAAACACACGATGCTGCTCATTTCTACATGCACTGATGACGTCTCTGCTGATGCTTCCTGCTCTCTGATGCTTGGACTGCAGAGGCGGCTCGCGTCCGTCCCCACGGCTCAGAGCTCGAGCTTACATGATGTTTATCACCCATCATAAACTCAGGTGTTGTCAGGTGCACGTCCTCTTCTGAGCTCTGATTTACAAAAACATGAAGCATTTAAAAATTAAAGCTCGTGGAGAAACTCCGAGAGCTCTGCGTTCGGTTTCTGAGGTGGAACCCGACATCCGGAGGTCGTTTCACCTTGACCTTTGACCTTTCTGTTGTGGTGCTCTCACGCTCATTAGCCTGTGGCGCTTTCATGACAGGCTGTTAATCTGTTAATCTGTCTTTTGAGCTCAGCAAAGAAGTCTCCATCATGGACTGTACATAAAAGATGGAAGCAAGGCAAAGTCCTGTTTTAAAGTCTTAAAATGGGCGTGGCTGAACTGAATGACCACAGATCAGAGACACAACGTGGCCGCGTCCTAAAAATGTGTCTCAATGTGTCCATAATTTACTAAATGAATGTCACGCTGTGTTAAAGAAGCCTTGAAACGACTGAGGGGGGGGGGGGTGCTGCTGAACACAGCCAGGCTTCCTCGGTCTGCAGCTCAAGAAGTTATCAACTTCCTGTTAAATCTGTTCTTGGCCTCTTTGTGTGGGTCATGTGACTCTTCTACCATCAGAGACGTTATCTGATGATGATGGTGATTAAAAATCTCTAAAACATATAAAATCTGTGCGTAAACTCTGCACGGAGATTAAATCTAAAGATTTCTTCCCAGAGCGGTGAAAGAGAGCCGAGGCTACAAGCAGCCGATGATAGAATCAGTTAATCACCTTTGGGGGAAATAAATAATGTGACAGGTTTCTTTCATTCAGGTTATCTAAAAATAATCTTGTTTTTCATCTCAGGAGGGCAAAAGAAATACGATGAATACAAAGTGAAGATTACTGTTATCAGGATTCTGTGTTAGCCGCAGGCCAAAGATGTAAACTGATGTTACAGGTTGGGCCACATACAGCACACTCTGGTACCAACGTTTAATCCCTGAGATGTCCGAACACGTCTCAGATACACGATGAAGAATCTGACAGCCCGACTCTTTGGGATGAAATAAGAAATGAAACAAACGTGTGGTCAGAGCTGCGATAGTAGAAAACGTCTGTTTGTGTGGAATTAACTGTTTATGTATTACTTCATTAGTAATGGTCATAGTGAGTCTTTGGCAGCAAGAAAAGCTTAATAACCTTTTAAAATACATTTAAAGGTCCAAACTTTTCCTGAAGCTGTCCGGTGGGCCGGGCTGGACGAGCTGATTTTGGGCCCTGAGCCTTATTTTTGACCCCCTGTGTGGGCTGATGTAGCTGGATCAGATCAATAATCTCAGAGGTGCAGACTCCAGCGACTTCATCCATGTGATTTGACCCAAATTTAACAGAAACGCCAGTTTCCCCTGTTGTCCATCACTATTTACAGTGTTTTCGTGTCTCCGTGTGACGTAACTGTGACGCTCGCGCTCCAGGTGAGTTTATCTGTGTGGATTCATGAACTTTACGCGGCGAACCGGACTTTCGTTGCTGGCTTCCTGCTCCGGCAGCTCTGAGCACATGACTGTGCTGTGGGTGGAGCTTGACGGGCGCAGCAGGAGGAGGAGGAGGACTTCCTCCCGTCGCTGCTTTCTGTTTGAGCGCCTTCTTGTTGTTGTTCTGAAGTTTGGACGGACTCGACACTCTGACCTGAGCCGTCATGGAGACGGACAGCCTGCTGTCCGGCAGCCTGGACGGAGCCTCCGGGGATTATGGCTCCAGGACCGGCTCGGAGCGCGGAGGGGCCCCGGGCAGCAGGAGGATGTCGTACTCGGCGTACGGGGACTCGAGCAGCGTGGACAGGGAGCCAGGTGAGCGGCTTTAAGTTTGCAGGTGTGGCAGTGAGCTGGGAAAAGTTGTCATGTTGTGAGTACCGGGAGTCACCGGATCAGCTGATTTACTCAGGTGAGCGCAGGCAGGTAGTTTTAGGCTCAGGTTAAACACGCCCACAGCTGCAGAGTCACACACAGCAGTTTACAGCAGGGCTGTGAAACATGAGGCTCGGGGGCCAGAACGGGTCCATTAGATGTCTCTGAAAGTGCTCTGATGACTTTTCTTTATTATTTTAGTCCAATCTTATTCGTTTGGATTCGCAGCGTTACTGACGAGAAAGGAAAGCTCAAAGATTGAAATGCTGTCGTTCCAGATGATGAACAACTGAAACATGTGAAAGTACTTTTTAAAGTTCACCGCTGTGCAAAAGTCCTGAGCCACTGCTCTTCTTAAAATTGATTGAATTTATTGAAACATGTGCAGACAAACATATGAGACAGAAACAGAGTTTTTCTAAAAAGGCATATTTGGTGAGAGCAGCTTCCTCCTTCAGCTCTCGGCCGTCTCTGTGAGGACGTCCAGGCTGAAGGACGCTCACAGCTCTCCTTTGGATGTTTCCAACACCGAGTCAGTAATGCTGAGGTCTGAATGTGGATCAGACCTGATCCTGTGAGCTTCCTCCGGTCCTCGTGTCATTTTCATTCCTCAGCCTTTCCTCCCGTTTCCCTTCATTAAGAACGGTTTCCTGATAGCCGCCGTCCACCGAGACGTCCTGGCGAGGCTCCAGTGAGCAGCAGATAGACTTTATTAGGCCCACACTTCTTCTTCTGTCCTCCACGGTGCAGTTTTCTTAAAGTTTTCAGTGTTTAGTGACTTAACAAGTGAATAAAAACAGTACAAGGACTGAGGATGAGGATGAGTGAAGAAGCAGCCAGTGTCCAAAG